CACCCGGCCACCCCAGTGCTTTTATTCTCCTGTCTTCTTGACTCTGATTTAGTTGGGTATGACAAGAGTGACCCAGTTTGTATAATCAATTTTCACAACTGGGTGTATCCAGATGTTTGAATTGTTCATCCTTTTAATAAACGTCTGATATTGTGGAGACACAGACAGGTGTCTATTAGAATCCATGTGAAGTGGTGGGGGTGGGCTGGAAATTGTCCTTATTTTACAAAATAATTTAAACATGGAGAGGTGAGTCTGTCCCTGAATATGAATACATTTTTAGCTTAATAGCGTTTTCTTATGGTTTCCATTTATTCAGAGATTATGTTCTGTTTCCCAGGCTCAGAAGCCTTGTTATAAATATTCTAATCCTTCCCAAATCAGGTGTCTGTGCACCTATTCCACAGAGTTATCTGAGGACCGTGGGAGATAATTTATTCTCATAATCTGCCTACAGAAGACGAACATTCCTCCTTCCTCTGCCAGCCTTGCCCAGATGAAAGACCCGGCGCCTCCTGCATGCTTCTGAGGCCGGCTGTGGGAGCTCAGCTGAGATTTTTGAAGAGAAATAAGCCTTTGCAGTCTTTGAAGAAATATCTGTGGAACCCACACTCTGGTAGACAACTTCCAGAGGTCACTTAATCTCGCATGGAGTTTCTAACTCAGCATTTATAAATGGGTCACGTTTCTTTCTCTGAAAAGACAGATTGGGCAAGTTAATATTATCTCACAGAACGGTTATTCTTGAAATGAGAGACGCTTTCATGAGGCAGAGGTCTTTTTCAAGGGTTCGTGGGCTAGGTTAGAATCTCTCGCATATGAGAGGAAGATTGGTGAGGCATTCACACTCTCTGGCCTCCATCCTTCCTGCGGTCTTGAAGCTCAGTATGGCGGAGTTGGACTTTAAAGCCTGCCCCATATTAGAGATCCTTTCTCCACTTTCTTCAGGCTAAAGAAAGAAGTGCTTCCAGCTGCTTTTCATCTGTGATGGTTTTGTAAGTAGGGAAGAGCCTATAAGTTTCTTTTACAGTTCATTACAACTAACAAACCTTATTTAGTCGAAGGAAATTGCCCTTTGGGGAATGGTTAGAATTAGCAAGGAGTGAAATCTTTCATGGTGGAAAACAGTCTCTGCATGTTACAGAAAACAAGAACAAAACTTCCAGACATGCTCCCCGATACAGGTTCTCGTTACTACATAAAATGGTCTTTTCCTTTTCTTATCTCAGTCCTGTGAGTCTCACATCGATTTTTTTTTTCTTTTCTCCTGTCCTTGTTTTCCATTTTGCTCAAGCGGATCAACTCTGCTATCAGTACCATAAAACGATAGACTTTCTACATGTTGGCAGATCCAAAGGTAAATGATACAGCCTCGAGTCAGTCACTGGAAGTTTCTATGCAATCTCTCAGGTGGGTTAGGTCAAGCAAGTCAGACTCAGAAGGGAGCTTGGACTCTTCTTACTCTGAGAGGTTAGCATCCTGGTATTTATAAACAGCTCATCCCCATCACAAATCAACCTAGACGTGACCTGAGACATCGCTGCCGTGATCTTTGCTTCCAAAACCTTTTTCTCTTCCTCTTGCTCATCCTGGCCTCTTCTGGCTCATAACAACCTTTTTCAGGAATTTTGAAGTCCACAATCTTGTCTCCTTTTCCTAGGCCACTCATGTTGCTTCTTTTTCCAGTCCTGATTACATTCTGACAGCTACCTTCCACTGTCTTGACCAAAGACTCTTACACTAATAAAGGGAAAGGAATTTCTAAAATCAGGAGGCTCAGAGATTTAGCCCTGATGCAATGTGCTCAATCGTAGGAATAGAACCAGGGGACAGAGGGGTTTTGTAGAGTTTCTCAACACTGGGTGGAAAGTTAGAATTGCTGCTTGAAGTCTCCACATCAAGTCAAAGAAATCTTTTCCTGATCACTCGGACACATGAAGAGAGTCTGACAGATGTTGCTCTGTTCTTAGGCAGTGTCAACAGGTACTTCCTTATAAGTAGCCTCTTGGTTTCTGTTGCTCTTTCCCTAAACTCATTTTGAGAGGCAAGGGGTCAAGTCCTGATTTGGGAACCAGAAAGCTTGCTTTCAAATGCTCTCCCTTGTACTAACCAGTAGTGTGATCTTTGGAAGTTATGCAGTGGCTCCGGGCCAAGTTCACATTTGGAGGAAGTTGAAGAGCCAGGCAAGCACAGCGTTGTAAGTTGATTGTCCTGGGATCAGAAGTTCATATACTTTGTTGGGCTGCAGAATCTTCAGCGGGTGGGGGTGCTTTACTAAATGGTAGACATCTGGGCTCACCCCAACAAGTCTTCCGTAGCTTTTGGGAGGAGAGGCAGTCTAGCTGTCTGCGTGTTTAGTCAGTGCTAAGTGGTTCTGATGCTCAGAGTCCTCACTCCACCCTGTGAGAAACACTACCTGGGAAGGTACAATTCAGAGTCACAGAGAACCTCTCCCCTCCATCTCACCACTAGCGCTGGAAAGGTCCTTGTAGGGCACAAAGGGAAGACTTCTCATTAAGCTTGAAGCCCAAATGTCTGAGACACAAACACAATCACACTAAAGTATAAGCAACAAGCACAGATCCTTTCCAGAGCAGGTTGTGATGGGAGAGGAGGGGAAGCTTGAGGGCATTGAGTGACCTGGAGGGACACCAAGAGTCAGCACACGGTGGAGGGACAGGCAGGACAACTCAAAGATGAACTTTACTGACTTTAAGTTTTTGCTGCAAGCTGTCTTCAGAGATACAGACAAGGAATTGGTGAGAGTTGAGACTGAAATAATGCATCCTGAATATTAATGCCTGGGGGTATTTTCAGAAAGACACGAAGCTGAAAAATATGTGACTAAGAGATGGCTCATTCCAGCAAGTACGCTGTGGTGCCTGGCTGTGCCTTGAAGACACAAGGAGAGTAATTTAATCATAGGACATCTGTGGGGTGATGGTAACTATTAGCTTTAGGTAGACAGAGCATGTGTGCTGGGACAGGTACGTTTGTGTGTGGAGGGGAGATGAAGAGCAAGAGAAGAGTCGTGTATAATAGGTCCTGGAGGAGAGAGGATGGAGATGAACAATTCAATAACTCTGTCCTAGTTTCAGCTCCATTGATGCAAGGGCAGCGCACCGAATTTAGCCTTCAATCTGGCTTATTTGTTGCTATCTAAATTCCAATTTATTTTTTTGTCAAGTGGGTCCATTTGCATGCAAGGTGCCTCTCTCTAATCTACTCTGATAATGACTTGGGTAAGCAGGTTGAACATTTCTTACTCCTCCCTGAAGGCTCACACTGTGGAATGGAAGGATGGTAAAGAAACTTTTTCATGATTAAACAGGAAGAAAATTACATCATGTTCTCATTCTTCTCATTCATTTTTTACATCTTTCACAACTTTGAATGCTGAACTAGGCTTGGCAGGGACGGGGATGGAAGGAGATGGGTGGCATGTTTCTTGGAATCCAAACTTCTTTTTATCATGAAGCCTTAGTAATGCTGCCCGGCCAATTTCTGCATTAAACAAACACAAATTGAAAGAGTGCAACATTATTTACTCTCCACACGGCCAACGTCCATTAATAACCTGGTTTTCCTGAACCTAAATCTTATAGACAGCTTATTCGTTGTCTTTTTTTTTATGTTTGATTCTTCTCTAAGATTTATTTTCAAAGATACTTAATTCTTGCAACTAACTGATGAGATTGTGAGCCAGTGAAATAGCTAAGATGATATATTCTCCTTGTAAGAATTCAGCAACAGTCCTTTCAATTCCAATCCATTTCATTTGGTTCTCTTCAATTCTGTCCTACTTTCCCTCTTGCTTTGTTCTAGAAATCACTGAGTCAGATCTAGAACTTAATACCTCCTTTGAATGCCTCGATCAGTTGCCAAGACTCCATTTTGATGGTCTGCGTTCAATCCCTGTGAGGTTTAACTCCTTTATCCATCCCGCTATCAACCCCTCCCCCATCCCATCCGGACATAGAGAGTAAATAAGATGCATTCACTTAAAAGGCCAGGACCTGGGTGAGTGGCCAGTATCTGGGCATCACCAGAAGCAATTAATAGAAAGGAGAGCTAGCCCAAGGGGAAATTTGAAATAGGTGAAATTTATTTAAATTCACTTAATCTCTCCCTTTCTCAACCTTTTCCTTTCTTCATCTGGCTCCTTTTTAACTTTCCCTTTCTCCTTTCTAGCCCTCCAGAGCACTCCTGTTACTTTCCTGCTACCTTGGACGGTGTACATATATATGCCCTGTATAGCACCACAGTGGGTACCTGACCCCTGCTTCTCATCCAGACACGGTCACAACCCCCTCTCCAGTGTCCTGGGTAAATGCTAGTGAACTGATAAGCTAAACTCTACTGGCAAATAAAAGGTTAATATGTTATGTTTGTTTTCATGTGGCATGAATTTTAAAAGGAGATTTCCAAAGTGATTTAACCCAAAGGAATCTTTTGGTAGAATTCTAGCCACCTTGGTAGAAAATTTTTGAGCCAAATGTCTGGCCCCATTTTTCACATGCCACCATGTATACCATTTTCTACTTTGTCCCTGATTAAAGTCAGTTCTGCCTCTGGGACTACGAGGGCAAAATTTTAAATAAGTGTGCCACCTGAGTGAATTACTGACTTCCTTTATGTATGCAATCCCATAACCATTTGTTCACTGAATAGATACTTACTGAGCACCTACTATATTGCGGTCTGTGTGAGGTGCCTTTGATACGAATGAAGAATAAGGCAGCATAGCAGGGAGTAAAATCGGAACAACCGGGGTTCACTTCCTGACTTTCTTCAGGCTAGGAATATTTGCCAAATCCATCTCATCCATCAAAAAAGAAAAAACAAAAACACAGAAGGATAGAGAAGATATAACACACACTTGAACTTAATCCATGCAGCTCTCTTACTGTGGCTCAAGAAGAAAGGGTTTGGAAAAGCAAGATAAATACTTCAGTCGGGGCAAGCTGGCTGCTGAAGCATATTTAAAAATCAAATTACCATTTTAATGGTATGCATCGTTTCCATATCAAATGATGACATTATTGGCAAAGACTAGAAGGTGACACAATTTTGAGTGCTTAAACTGTCCCAACAATAGATGAAGCTATCTTAAAGCGACTACAAAGCCATTTTGCCATCTGGCACCCTCGCTACCCATCCTGGGGGGGATGGGGAGAATGAGTGCGTCCAAGTGGTGAAATGCGATTGGCTCCTGCCTTGAGGATGCACGTTGGGGAGAGCCTGTTGGGCCATCTGACACTCTTCTTCTTATCCTGACTGCATAAAGGGATGGCTTCCTAAGCAACAGCCTTATAAACATACTATTTTTTATTATTACAAATAGACAGGTTTACTGTAGCAAACACAGCAGAACACAAAGCAAAAAATTGAAGTCATGTATAAAACCTGGAAATATCTAATATTGATATTTCAGTGGGTAGCCTTTCAGTCTTTTTAAAATTCCTGGGTGCATTTGTGTGTGTGTGTGTGTGTGTGTGTGTGTGTGTGTGCGCAAAGCAAAATTGAGATCAAATTATAATTATTTTCCACTTAATGCAGGGCTGGCTTCACGAGAATGTGGCCTGTGCTTTGGTTTAATGCTCTGCTATTGCCATCATGAAATTCTTAATTTTGTCTTTGAACCTGTGTTTGGTAAACGAAGTCCGATGGGAGTTGTGTGCAATGTGGGTGACTCCTGTTCTGGCTGCCTCATTTGCATATAGTTCACAGTCCTCCAAGAGCAGAGAATTCCAATGGGTCCACCAGGCAAGAGACTTTCGTGAGAGGGAAAGCAAGGACGAGGTGAGCATGTTACATTTACAACTGAGTGCTCACTGTCCCGAGACACCACACTTTCCACTTGAACCAGAACTTGCTTCTAATGCAGACAGAAGACAGTGGTATTCTAAGAAACAAGAAGGACCAAGAAACCTTATCGTATCCTTTCTTACTCATGTCACCTCCCTGAATTTAGCCAACCACTTGAAATGATGACATAGAAGGAAAGCGAAAAGTAGGGCCACCTGCAGTTCCTTTTTCACTTAGTCCTTCCTTACTCATTGGTAGGTCAAAGGCGGAGAGGCCGTGTGTGTATCAAGAAGTAAAACAGAAACACTTGAGTTCATTTCATGCAGCATTTTAACAGTTTTGGCAAGAAAGAAAGGCATATGTGTATAAGAAATTCAAAATAGGAATTATATAATTTTGATTATTCTACAAACAAGTTAAATGGTTTTGTTTGCACTTCAAACTTGCATCTCACAATAGAAAGATGAATGCTATAATTCGTGCTAATAATTTAAATTTTTAACTTTTATTTTCTTAGAACAACATTAAGTAGCAAATCAAAAATGCCATGTCAAGTCAAGTGAGAGATTGTGGAAGAAAGGGAAGGTACTTTTTTCCTGCTTAGGAGCCCCATGTTTTCATTTTCCACTGGGCACTGCAAATTATGTAGCCAGCCTTGATCGAATGATATATTGCAATCATTTTTGCCAAGTCATTAAATCTGAGTTTTTAAATTTATGTATTTTAATAGATTTTATTTTTAGAGCAGTTTCAATTTTACAGCAAAATTGAATGAAAGGTACAGAGAGTTCCCATATGCGTCTTGCCCCACACACCCATAGCCTCACCCATTACCAACATCCCTCACCAGAGTGGTGCATT